CCTCAGGTCGTTTAGGGGGAGAAAGATGAGGAGTAAGAAGCAATGAGTTCCGAAAGGAGACATATGTAATACTTTAAATAAAAATAATAATAATAAGAAGCAGCAGCAGCAGCAATGAGTTCCAGGAAAGAACTCTGGCTCATGACTACTAAGAAACCTTCTCTGCCCTCATATTGTGTCAGTGCCCCTCTGGTCCCCAGCATCTCCTGACCATTCCATTCCAAAATCAAATAGGAATGTCCTGAGATTGTCCTGTTTCTTTTCTCTATAATTAGACCTCAAGGCACAGAATTGGATGATTCATAACCTTTTGTGCATGACACATTCTCACCAGTTATTTGACTCCCACGAAAAACCAAAACAACTAGGACCTTTACAATGTCCTACATCTCATTATATAGTTCCCCCACCCATTCTCCTACTGCTCCACCACCCAAGGTAACCATCCCCTCCTGTGCCCATCATTCCCTTTTTATATAGTTTTTTTGCATCTGTGGATTTCCTTAAAGTATACATTTTAATCTTAGTTGTTTTTAAATTTACAAAAAGGGCATCTTGCTGTATGTAATTTGGGGAACTTCTTTTTACTTAATATTATGCTGCTAATATTTATCCACATCGTTGTATGCTAGTGTAGTGCATTCTGGCTGCGTGCAGTATTCCAATGTGTGAATATGGCATTCATCTATTCTCCAGTGGGTGGGCATTTGAATGTTTCCAGGTGTTTTCACTTGTGAACAGTGCTGCTCTGAGTGTTGTGCACACTCCAGTGCACATTTGCAGAAGAGCTCGGGGCAGTGGGCCATGTGGCTACTCCACATGAGTAGGCATTGTCAAGCTAGAACCGATTATCTTTCCTAGGGTTTTTGTGGTTTTTTTTTGTAATCCTCACCCGAGTATATTTTTCCATTGATTTTTAGACATGGCACGTTTTTGTGCAATATTTTGAAATATTGATGTGAGAGAAACACATTGATTGGTTGCCTCCTGCCTGTGCCCTGAACAGGGCCCGGGCTGGGGAGGAGCCTGCAACCAAGGTACGTGCCCTTGTCTGGAAACAACCCAGGACCCTTCGGTCCTCAGGCCGACACTCTATCCACTGAGCCAAACCGGCTAGGGCTTTTCTGGTTTTTGATGATCTGCATTTCCTTTTCTATGGAGTGCCTCTTTGCGCCTCTTATCCATTCTTCTGTTGGGTTATAATACGTTGTTGTACTTCATGAAAATTCTGCTCTACCCTTTCCATGCTCAACACCCCTGGTGGCCTAGGGAGAGCTGATAGCAGTATCCATTTTACAGGTAGGGAAACAGAGGCTCAGAGAAGTGAAGGGGTTTGTTCAAAGTCACCGGCTTAGTGACAGGCCTTCTTCACTGGGCTGATGCCTTCTGGGGCCTTTGGGCTTCAGCTAAGAAACCTCTGCCCTTCACGCTGGGTCAGGGCCCGTGTGGTCCCAGCATCTGCTGGCCATTCCAAGAGCTTATTGTCTAGGGCCGTAGTCTTCAAACCGAGCCACACTCGGCTCTTTGGCCCCTTGAGTGTGGCTCTTCCTAAGCCTCAGGAGCACCCTAATTAAGTTAATAACAATGTACCTATCTATATAGTTTAAGTTTAAAAAATTTGGCTCTCAAAAGAAATTTCAATCATTGTCCTGTTGACAAACTCATTAGTCAACAGAGCCAAATTTCAACAGTACTTAGTTATTAACTCCTAAACTGGCCTTTGCTAAGAATGTCCTCAATCTGATTGAGGTACATTTGCTGAGGTCGACGCCTTCCAACTCTCCCATCCTCAACTCGGGCATGATTCGCGCACGCCTCTCTCCCCGTGCTGCTGTCTCCCATCACCTGACCGACACCCCCCACTTCTTCTAACACCACTTCTTCAAAATAGACTCGCCCAGGCCGAAAACCGAATTCTGCGCATGGGCCACAAAGTTTCAGTCTCACCTTACGTGCGCACCCGCACGTGGTATTTTGTGGAAGAGCCACACTCAAGGGGCCAAAGAGCCGCATGTGGCTCGTGAGCCACGGTTTGCCGACCACTGGTCTAGGGAGACCTTCTGTGCCCCTGGTCCTCTGTGTTTCTGAACTCTTCTCTCCTATTGTATGATTCAGATGTGTTTGTGGTAATTTCATTATTGTCCTTCTCCATCAGACTAGGAACTCCGCGAGGGCAGGGACCCATGCCAGCATGCTGCCTGGAATACAGTAGGTGCTCAGTGTTTACTGGATGAACTGTCTGTCTCCTTGTCTGCATCCCCAGCCCTTTGGATTCTTTCTGAGGGTTGGGTCTGGGTCTGAGCTGCCTCAGGGTTCCCAGCACCATCTCCAAGGAGCACAGAGAATGTTTGTTAAATGAATGAGGGAGGGAGGAGGCGGCTGCATCCATTGCTAGGACAGATTCAGTGCCCCCAGGCTTTTCCTACTTTGAATGGAAATCTCCCCAAATCAAGCCCTGGTCCCTGACTCCCAGGCTCCCCTGTCTTGGTCCTGTGCACCCCCCTCCCTGTCCTCAATTGCTGACCTTCCCTGAACCTGGTCTCCCTCAGAACCATCCTTTCTTTACTTCTCCATCCATCACTTAAACTTCCTTTCCTCCAGGCCCTCCCTCCCTCACCCAGCTCCACTGCCTCCTCACATCACCATAATTCAGAGACATGCCCCCGCCCCCTGCCCCGCCCCCCTCTGCCTCCGCTTTTCTGGCTTCTCCTCCTCTCCAGTCCCGGAATGTTGGTGTTCTAGGACTCTATTCAGCCCCCTTCTTACTTTCTTCAAGAATCCCATCCACCCCCTCAGATTCCAGCCAAAGGTGAGATAACCACGCCCCAGGCTTTGCACCTTTTCCTAAAACCCTTCCTGGATGTCTCCAGACCCTGTGGACTCCTCGCTCCCACCAGGTGGAGGGCTCCACCCCAGGTCAGGACCCCGCCTGGCCTCCACCCAGGTCTACTGTCAGGATGGAATCTGAGTAAAGGGGTTTGTTTGGGCTGTGGGTAACAAAGATTAAAAATAACAACACCAGGGCTTTAAAAAAGTAGATACTTATTTCTCAGGCAAAAATCTGCACTTAGTGGCCCCAAACTGGAATGGTCAAAGACCCAAGCTGCTGCCTGGCTGGCATGGCTCAGTGGTTGAGCGTCAACCTATGAACCAGGTCACAGTTTGATTCCTGGTCAGGACACATGCCCGGGTTGCAGGCTCGATCCCCAGGGTGGGGCATGCAGAAGGCAACCCATCAATAATTCTCTCTCATCATTGATGTTTCTATTTCTCCTCCCTTCCTCTCTGAAATCAATAAAAATATATTTTTTTTAAAAAGAACTAGCCTTTTTTCTTCTGACATCACCATGTGTGTATTTCACTGTAACCCCCAAATCAAAGTTCCTTTTGTCCAAATTGTGAGCCTCTCCAGCCACAGCATTTGTAGTGGATCCCAAGGTGGGCTGGGCCTGGTTCTCCCACTTCCTCCGCCAGCTGCAAGACACCTCTATGGAGTTAAACTCCTCCAGGGCCCTTCTCTGAGTGCCCATTGCCCAACAGCCTTGGAGGTAAGGTGGGGCTAAAAGGAAGATATTGGATCAGTTATATAGTCCGTCCTTGCCCTATCGCTCTGCCCATCCCTCTCCTCCCTCTACCTTCTGAAAAGGGAGACTTCGCCATGCCGGTTCTGTCACGTACAGGGTCTGTGTGGTATACCAGCAGCCAAGGGCAGGCCGGACTGTTCCCCAGGAGGGAATAAGGCCTAGAGGAGGAGTGAGGGGTCTGAGGGGTGGGGTGGGGGAGGAGAGAAAAAGAGCAGAGAGGATGGGGCTCTGCAGAGGTGTGGCTGAGGGGAGAGGTGCTCGGGGAAAACCGGTGAGGACCCGGAAGGGCCTTGCCTGGTGTTTCCCTTTGCTGCCTCCTTGGACCTTCAGTGAAGATGCCTTTACAAGCCTTTTAAGGCTCAGGTCTGTGTTTGAGATATGAGATGGCCTCCAGGCAGCCTTCCAGGCGCCCGCAGGCCAGAATGATGGAGCTGAGAGGGCAGAACAGAGGAAGCCGGCAGAGCAGTCTGCCTTGAGACTGGTCAGCAGGCCCCTGACACTGGACCTCCATGTAGCAGCCTCCTGATGGCCCTGGGTGGCTCTTTCTCCTGAGCTGCTGACTCTCCTTTTAGAATGAAGCAATGTCCAAGGGCCACTTCCCCTCCTTGGAGCGGCCTGGTGGATACGCTGAGTCTGGAAGAGGTGGGCAGAGGGTAAGTGGGGTCTGGGGCTCTTCCTGGCATTTAATGCTCTGTTCTCACCCACCTTCTTTTCTTAACACCGCACTCCTCACACACCCAACCCCTGGGCTGAGTTGAAGCTCACTTGCTTTACCTCCAAGCGCAGCGCATCTCTGCCTCTGGGTTTTGCATGCACAGTGCCTTCACCAGGAGCCTCCTCCCCACCTCAGGCCCCGCCTCTTCTAAGAAGCACTCCCTGATTTCTCCTGCTGAGCCCCCCAGGAGGCCACATGCCGCCCACCCCAGCTCCCTGCCTGTCTGCCCCAGGGCAGAGCCTAGCATAGGGCTGGCCCAGGCTGTACTAACATGCTCCCCCCTTCTGCTGGCAGAGCTCCCAACAGCCTTTAACATCTGGTTCAGATGCTCCCCTTCCTCCCCTCTCCCCCCAAAAAGATCTCTCCTAACTAATTGATCTGGGTCATGGGCATCCTCCGAGCACTCCGTCCCGTCCCCACAGCCACGCTTCCCTCAGTCACAGACTTTACGTCACTGCGTCAATCCTTCCAGCAGTTGGGAGCCTGTATGGGTCTGGTTCTTTGGGGACCCACAACCAACCCAGGCCTGAACATGCCGTGTCAGTAAAGGTTTGCTGCATGAATGGAACATCGTACCCCGCTCATATTCACCCCTCAAAACCCAGCTCAAATGCCTCTTCCCAGAAGCTCTCACTCCTCCCCTCCCCCATCGTCCCTCACTCCCTTATAAGTGACTCCAAAGCATGCAGCATACTCCTCAGTTACAGTACATGTCACATATATTTGTGTGAGCAGCTTAACATGGCTTCTCCACCTCCATGGCTCACGGGACCTTCTGCAGGGCCAGGCTCAGGCTGCCCTGCGTCTGAGCCTACAAGGCCTGGTCCAAAAACGGGCTCAATAAATAGCTGTGGCTGAGATATTGGGGTCTGTCCTGCCCCAGGGGCTCAGCGCCCCTGCCGCTGCCACTTGGCTGTGAGTTTCTGGAACAGTTCATGTGGCCGCTGGCGGAACTTCTTTTGGGTGAAGTAGAAGAGGATGGGGTCCAGCACGCTGTTGGCACTGGCGAAGGGCCGCGTGCCTTTGTAGGCGGCTGCAAAGGCCTCCAGCACGGGGCAGGAGACACCCGGCGTAGAGCGCACCGCCAGGTAGGCTGTCTTGGTGATGTGGAAAGGCAGGAAGCTGATGGCAAAGACGGCTGCCACCACCACAGCCATGCGGGCTGCCTTGCCGCGCCGCTCCTGGGCCACAGGCCCTGCAGGGCCATCCTGGCGGCACAGACGGCGGGCCAGACGGTAGTAGCAGGCCAGCAGGGCGACGAAGGGCAGCAGGAAGCCGATGACTGTGAGCGCCATGCCATAGGGCAAGTATCGGGTGGCCAGGGCAGGCGAGCTCAGGTCGTAACAGACAGTGCGGTTACGTTGGATGCCTGTGGAGGCAAAGAAAGCTGTGGGCAGGCACTGGGTTGTCACAGCCAGCCACACAGCTCCACACACTATCCAGGCAGCCCGGCGGCCCCCACGCTTGTGCCAGGGGGCCAGAGGGTAGCAGATGCCCAGGTAGCGCTGGAAGCTGATGCAGGTGAGGAAGAGGATGCTGCCGTGGAGGTTGGCATAGAAGAGGAAGCGCACCAGACGGCAGGTGAGGTCGCCGAAGGGCCAGTGGTCACCTCGGGCATAGTTGTAGATGAGCAGGGGCAGGGAGCAGGCGTACAGCAGGTCAGCCAGGGCCAGGTTCAGGGTGTACACGGCCGAGCGCGTCAAGGCCCGGCGGGACGAGCAGATCTGGACGATGACGCAGATATTCAGCGGCAGGCCAGCCGCCAGCACCACGGAGTACACAGGGGGCAGCAGCAGCCGCTTAAAGTTCTCTCGGTAGACACAGGTGGTGGGCGGTGAGCCCAGAGCCTGGCTTGTGTCGTTGTGCCACTCCATGGCTGCCTGACGGGGCTTCCTACATCGGGAGAGGCTGCGGAAGCAACACACAATCTGTCAGTGACCACCTTCACTGACCACCCAGTAGGTCCTTGTCCCTCTCCCTACCCGAACCACCTCTGATACCAACCCACAGAGACCCCACTCAGCCCTCACAAAACCTGGAATACAAGAGAGAAACAGGTTTGTTGTTCACTTATTTGTGCACTCATTGATTGATTCTTATATGTGCCATGACCGGGGATTGAACCCACAACCTTGGTATCAGGATGATGCTCTAACCAACTGAGCTACCCAGCCAGGAGTAATTTCTATTTATAATATCCATTTCTCACCAGACTTTCTGGTGAACTTTTATTTTTATTAAATATATATATTTTTTATTGATTTCAGAGAGGAAGGAAGGGGGAGGGGAGAGAGAGAGATCAATGATGAGAGAGAATCATTGATTGGCTGCCTCCTGCAGGCCCCCTACTGGGGATTGGGCCCACAACCCAGGCATGTGCCCTTGACCGGAATCGAACCCAGGACCCTTCAGTCCAAAGGCTGACACCCTATCCACTGAGCCAAACCAGCTAGGGCTGAACTTCCTGTCATCCTTCCAAATCTGAGTCAAATGTCTCGCTTCTATAAGTGGAGATGGATGGACTTTGATTTGAATCCCAACTTACTTACTGGCTATGTGACCTTGAGCTATTGATAGACCTTCTCTGAGTGCCAGCTTTCCTATCTGAAAAATGGGGGAACGGTGCACCGACTTCTCAGGATGTTACGAGGTTAGAGGCACTAAATCATGCTCTCCAGGGCTTCCCCGGGCACCTGGAGTTCGGAGATGGTGGTCCTGGTGGGCCTGCCTGTTTGACTCTCCTTCACAGATTGGGAATCTCCTGAGAAGTGCCAGGTCTGTCTGAGTCCAGCCCCGGGCCCAAGGCACAGGGGGCCGTGGTAACGCTTAATGAATCAACATGAACAAAATATTCACGCACCGTGAGCCGACCAAGGGCAGCATCTACCTCCTCGGCCTGAGCTCCACCTTCCAAAGCCAGGGTCCTTCCTCTGGCTGCAGCTTTATCTGCAAAATAAGAGAGAAGGAGGTGATTCAGGAGTTCCCCAAGTCTCCTTCCACTCGACTTAAGGCTACAAAGGCTGGAGCCACAGCGCCCTCTGGTGGCTACAGTAAAAACAGCTTTCCTGAAGGCAGACGGCAGAGGGAGCAACCCCATCAACAGCTTCCTTAATAGAAGGGGAATCCAGGCAGTCGGGGGCAGTGGCCTCTGAATCTTAGTGAATTGGAGGCAGAGCCCAGTGGGAGTTGGAGCCGGAGCCCAACCACCTGACTCAGGAGGCATCTTGGTGTAGCCCATGGACATGGAATGCAGAGGTTCCAAGCCCAGCTTCAGAGAACCAGGCGGCTTGGTTCAAATCCTGCCTTCCCTTCTGCCATGCTGTTCACCCCAGGGCTTCACTTACCTTTCCTGGGCCTATGTCCTCATCAGAAAGACGTATGCTGGGCCTGACATGCAGCAGGTGCTTAATAAACGCCATGCCCTGCTGTTTTATCCTACACCCGATCCCTCCACTCATCCCTGCAGGTTGACGTTTGGGGGGGCCGGTAGCACAGATGCCTGAAGGATCTGCCCCTGGTGGATGAGCGACTTCTTATTGCTCACTTCTCGATTGGCATTTTCACATTTACTGGTGTCCACAGAGAATTCACTACTTAACTCCGTGGACCTGCCATTGAGATAGTGAGTCAAATCCTCCCCTCTCTCTATGTTACGGATGGGAGAAACCGAGGCCCAGAAAAAAATATAAAGTCCTGCAAATGCACTCAGAGGGTGCTAGAGGGTTGAGGCTGAGTACATGGGCTCTGGTCCAGATGCCCAGGTTCAAATCCCGGCTCTGCCACGTGTGAGCTGTGTGGCCTGAGGCTCCTTACTCAACCTCCATGCCTCCGTTTCCCCATCTATAAAATGGGGTAATATAGTACCTGCCTCATGGTGCTGCTGTGAAGATCAGTGCTTGGCACAGGGCAATTGGTAGCCGTCCCTAATGTGGATATACTGCTAAGTAAAGTTATGAGATTTAAAAAAGTTATAATAGAGCAAAACATAACTCCCCACACTAACTTCTTCCAACTTAAAATTTGATGAAAATATTTTACCCAGATTCTGGGCAACTGCAAAACGATGATGTTTGGATTCTCCAGTCTGTTATATCATGCGCCATATCACCTTACGTCACCTAAGATTCTTGTCGATTTCATCCCATGAGTTAGGAGTGCTGGGTGCCCAGCTCACCAGTTAGGCACAGGGGGAGGCCGAGGAGGAGGCTTGGCGATACCCGCACTGTAGCCAGGAAGGCAAGATTAGTACAGTTTATCCATTCGCCTCTTCACTCACTGTTCAGGCCGTTCTTTCATTCACGCATTCATTTTCTGGTTTCTGCATGCTAGGCACTTAATGAGTCCTTACTGCCTGCTGGGTGCATGAGGACACAGTATATAGATGCAGACGAAGGTAGATAGATGCAGATACAGAAATACATACGCACATTTATCTATACTTATACAGGGTGCGGCAAAGGTAGGTTTATGAGAATAAACGGTTTATTCTTATATTTTTATTTATTAGTTATTGTCTTATTATCTAGAATGACAACTGTAAACCTATTTTTGCCCTACCCAGTATATGGACTAGTTTGAGGGGCGAGACCAGTGTGATCCATAGGGTGGAAGAGACTTTTCAGAGGATGAAGGATGGAGCAAGTCCCTGATGGTTGAGGGGGGTTGCCCTGGGTGGAGTGGGGTGTGAGGACGCTTGGGGAGTTCCCAGGTCGGGAGGAAGGTGGAGCAGGCAGGGCCTGAGAGGAGAGCAGCCTGCTGGGGCAGAGGGTCCTGGGGAGGAGGAGGAAGCTGGTGGAAGGAACCATGCTGTGCCCCTGAACCCTTCTTTGAGGGGCCTGTCACCCTCAGACACACCCCAGAGACCCCTCTGACTTCGGTGCAGGACGCAGTGCTGCACGAGAGGATCCAGGGCAAACCTTCAGGTCTGCTCCAGGCCTGGCCGTCACCTGCTCCCGCATCCAGTCTGCCTTCCCAGGACGTAGGAGGGGTGAGCTGTTCTCCCAGTCCTGGCAGGAGGTGGTTCAGAGAGAGAGAGAGAGAGACAGAGAGAGAGAGAGAGAGAGACCCTGCCTCCAGGCAGCAGCGGCATTGATTCCCCACAGCCATCATATCTGTCACCCATTCTTAGACCCTGAGGCCCAGACCAGCTCAGACCCCAGCCTCTTCTGTCCTTTGGGGGAAAGCTCGACGCCCTGTCCTGACAGTCAAGCCTCTGCTGAGACTTCGAACCTCAGCTGAAGTACCCAGGCCCTCGGCGCTGCCCCTCCACCCCACTGCTCCCAAGACACCGAGACGGCCAGCAAGCCAGGCTTCCTCCCAGCCGCCCATCTTTACTGTTCCCTTCACACAAAGTGCCATTCGCCCCGTCTCTGTTCCTCAAAACCTGTGTCCATCAAGCTCCACATCCAATCTTGCTTCTTCCTTTCCTTTTTTTAAAAATACGTTTTCACTGATTTTAGAGCGAGAACAAGGGAGAGAGAGAGAGAAACATCGATCTGAGAAAACATTGATCACTTGCCTCCCAGGGACTGAACCCACGAACTGAATCGAACTGGTGACCTCTGGGTGCCTGGGGAGATGCTCAACCAACTGAGCTCACCGGCCAGGGTGCTTCTTCCTTTGCCGATCCCCCAGCTGGGTAGGGTCCCTTCCTCTGGGCACCCCCAACTCTGTGGACCTCCTTTAGGTCAGTGCTAAGCCCAGCCTGCCTGCCCAAAGTCACAGTCCCTGTGTCCGACCCCAGGCCCCCTCCACACTGGCCCACAGCCCCGAGATGCACCAACACTCACATGCAGCCGCCTGTCCCTGAAGCGCCGTGGTGGCCCTGAATGTGCTGGAGCAAGGGGAAGCCAGACATGAGGCTCCACACCCTCGGCCCAGGCTGTGACACCTCTGATGGGCGGGCAGCTTCCTCTGTTTCCTGGCAGGGCTGTCTCTGACTGAAATAGCCCCTGTGGGGGCCACCCCCTCCCTAACACCCCTAACACCAAGGTCTGGCGGAAACTGGGCCTAAGAGGAGCAAGGAGGTCGAGGAAAGGTCTCCTTCCCGGAACCCTCCCCCACCCGGCGGAGGAAAGAGGGTGATGAGGAGAGAGAGAGCGGGGAGTGGGGAGACCAGAGGCTGCTGGTCAAAGGTCAGCCCTATAGGCTCAGCGGCTTCTTTTCTCCTCAGCCTCTTCTCAGTCTTCTCATCTGTCAAATGGACAGGTTAGTGACTAAAGAGCTTCTGACTCCTCCTTCAGCTGTAACACCCAGAGCCATCTTCCCAGTCACTCACTCCTCCACCCACCACCCCCACCTCGTTCTCCATTTATTGACTAGCTCATTCACTGACGTGCCCAGTCCTCTATGTGGGTATCCACTTATGCACCCTCTCCCTCCCCTTTTAGATCTCTTCCTTTTCTCCAAAAGCATTTATTGCACACCTACTATCTGCCATCAGATAGTCCCACATTTCCCCTTTAGCCGGCCCGGAGCTCACTGGGAGTGATAGGTATGGGCTGTGGGGTTAGAGGTGATGCCTCTGAACACTCACCTGAGTGAGGTTCTCCCTGCCTGTGCTAGTCCTCCCCCGATTCCTCCTTGCTGCCAAACCAGGACTCAAAGCTGTGGGCCCAGATTCTTGCTCTATTGTGGCCCCTATTCACTGTGTGATTCTGGCCTTCTTGGTAGAATGTGGTCATAATGGCCACCACCAGCAGGTGGTGCGGATGAGCTGCCAGAGGGAGAGAGGACCTTTTATTCTGCACAGTATAAGCACTGACCTCACCCCCGAACCCATTTTACAGGCCAGCAGAGTGAGGAACCAAGTCAGGGCCAAAAGTTTAGACCAAACTGAGAACATTCAGGTTTGAATGGCCGGTAAACACTTGGTCCGTCATGCATGAATTGAACACCTACTGCATACTCAGGTCTGCTAGGAGGTTGCTTGTGCGGGTTAGAAGCATGGATCTCCTGGCCTGATTTGAGCTGGGCTGGGATCCAGAAGGGCAAGAAGGCCTGACCTTCAGTCCAGCAGCCAGTTCTCCGCGGAACTCCTGTGGTCACACCCACCAGGGTGTGTCCCAAGAATGGGAGCAGCTCCAAGGGCTTCCTAGGGGTGTCAGCCTCAGGGCAAGGTTTGGGACCCATTTCCTGCCACCTGGGGCGGGGGGGAGAGCTCAGGTGTTAGGGCTCATAGGTACACCTGGGAGGGAGGGACCTGGAAGGGCCCCTGGAGAAGACATGTCTGTTGCTGGGCCTTAAAGGGCCAAGGGGACTTGGAAAAGTGAAGGGACATCCCAGCGGGAGGCACTGAGGTGGGGACTGGGCCTACCTTGTGTGGGAAATGAAGGGTAAATATTGCAGCCAGAGCATGGGAGGAGTGAGCAAAGAGGGACGAGAGGGGACGCCTGAGGGCGCTGGCCCATCATAAGCCCCCCAAGCAGAGCCCCTGTGCCACTGCCCAGCCTCAGCCTTCCCCACCTGGCTTCCCGGCCGCTCCGCCCATGTGCAAGTTCTCTCCTCTGCCAGACACCTTCCCCCTCCAGGTACTGTCAGCAGAAACACTGAATGCAGTCTCTCACCCCACAGAAGGGACAACCTTTTTACAATTCAGGCAACAACCACCGGTCAGTTTATGCTACAGAAGCAATTCAATTCAGATGTAAGGAAGCGCTGACAAGGGTTGGAGCGCCTTGCTCTGCTTGGATCTTATGGTCTCAGGACACCTGCAGATGACCTAGCAGCCTCCCTTCTTCCTTTGCCCCTGCCCCAAGGACCTCCATATCCCCCATATCTGGAAGGGATGAGGAGGCCTGCTGGCCAGGGGCAGGAGCTGGAAGCCTGAGTCACGCCTGCCAGCCAGCCAGGAACCAGTCCAGACCAGGCTGGATGTGGGAAGAGGCCTCCCAACCTTGGCTGGCCTGGCTGCTGGGAAACTAGCCTGGAATCCCCCTTGCCCAGCCCCTGGCCTGTGAATCTAGCAGCAAAGGCACAGGATGGCGGGGGCAAGACTCAGCTTCCTTCCCCTGAGGAGTCAGACAAGCCGGGATCCACCACCAATTGCTGTGTGACCTGGCACGGGCTGCCTACCCTCAATGACCCTGCATCTCTGGCTGATGGACAGGGCGAACCACGGTGCCTCTCGGACAGGGTCATCGCGTCCTCTGTGCTCCAGTCACCAACCCATCCCTGCCCCAGGCAGCATCCAGCCCCCTGAAGTCCACCTCAGGCCAGCCTGAGGCCAGGCTCCTGATGCCAGTATCTCCCTGGCACCCAGAAGACAGTGGGCAGGGGCCGAGCCACCCCCTTTTGGAGTTTTGGTCTCAGCTGTGGTAGCAGGCTGACCACAAAAGCAGACAAACCTGGCAGGAGGAGGGCACAGGGAGGGCAGGAAAGCTGATTTCTCTTCTCTTTCCCACTTCCCCTCCTCACCTCTGTTTCAACAAGAATTAAAGCGGGAACCGAAACAACCATTTTGAGTGCAGGGAAGGGGAAGCTGCAGCTTCGGGGAACTGGGGGCCCGAGCTGCTTCCTTTGGTTTCTCTCCAGCCTCTACGGCTGAGCAAAGAGGGAACTTGCCTCTCCCGCGCCTCTACTGTGTGCCAGGCCCAGCTGTCCATCACTGAGCTCACGTCATCCCCGCCACAATCTGGACACAGACTGCGCACCAAGCTCTGTGCAAAATGCTTTTCCAGTCACATCTCATTTCCTCTTCACAATGCCCATCTCCACGCTACGGATGAGGAAGCTGAGGTTGGCAAAGTCAGCAACAGTTCTGCCTTGGAAATGAGACACCGTGATGGCCCTGGTGAGCCCAGGGCTGAGAAGTCACAAGTGGCCTTGGGAGATAGAGATAGAGACAGAGATAAAGATAGAGGTAGAGGTAGAGAGAGAGAGAGAGAGAGAGAGAGAGAGAGAGAGAGAGAGAAACAGGGCTCAGAAGGCAGCAGTGACAGAAGAGGGAGTCTGTGGTGCCTGGTTTAACTAGTCATGCCCTTGGGGCCGCAGCTCCTCCCGCCCAGGGCCCTGGGAGATCCCAAGACCCTCCCATAAATCCCTTTTCCCGGGAGCTGGTGTGGGAGGGTCTCTGTTCTTTGCCTGGACCCCCCAGGATGTTCCGTGTTTTCCCGGTGGAGATGTATCACTCGGGTCTCTCTTTAAGGAAGAACCGGCCCTTTAGCTGCAAGCAGTGCAGTTGGCCGACAGCCTCCCTTGGTGTCTTCAGGACCCGCCCATCCTCCCAGATAGCCAGGCTCCAGTCGGCTGGGAGGAGATGGCCCAGGTCCAGCCGCCTGGCCTGCCCTGCTGGCAGCCATCCCTCTCCTCAGTGGTTTCTTCCCACCCAGTTCCCAGCCCCCCTCTGATGATTAGGGCCCCACCTCCTGTTGTTCCTTTGCGGGACCCCCTCCTTCCTTGCCTGGAGTCTTGAGGATCTGGGCGTGGTGGGCCTGTGACCCAGGCCTGCCCATGAGGGAAGAGGGGGCTCCTCAGGCCCCACCACTGGC